GAGGAGGAAGGAGGAGGAGGAGGAGGAGGAGGAGGAGGAGGGAGGGGAGGAGGGAGGAGGAGGAGGAGGAGGAGGAGAGGAGGAGGAGGAGGAGGAGGAGGAGGAGGAGGAGGAGGAGGAGGAGGAGGAGGAGGAGGAGGAGGAGGAGGAGGAGGAGGAGGAGGAGGAGGAGGGGAGGAGGAGGCCAAAGAGAGGGAAGATCCAGTACAACCGAAGGAACGGGTGGTTATGAGCAGGGGGAATGCAAACTTGTGGGCGGGCGCCGAGGACATACACGGAGAGCCTGAACAGCGGGCGCGCGCGCCGTCTTTTTTTTCCCCCCCCGATATTGTGTAGTACGGCTGGTGGCGTTGTGTCCGATGTGCTTCCGCGAGCGCGCATCGCCTTGGGTAGGTGTGCGGTTGCAGGTTTGCGTGCGTGCCTCCCTTCCAGCCGCTGGCCAGAACCGCATACCGGACACAGGCTTTTTGGAGTCTCCTCGGGCCTCGTGGGGCCTCTGTTGGCCTCCCACATCATTATGAAACTGATTTAGGTTGTCCTAGCGCGTCCAAGTGCTTTCTGGGGCCTATGGGTGGTCGTCAGTCATTGCGCCTCCTGGGGCTTCTGGGGCCTCTGAGTCGCCCCGAGGTCTCCTGAAGCCCCATGCGGCCTTCTGAGGCCGCTTGGGGCCTCCTGCGGTCTCCTGAAAGCCTGGAGATTCTGAGTGGTCTTTAGGCTTCCTGGGGCCTCCTGATACTTCCTGTGGCCTCGCCGCCGTCGTTGCCGTCGTCGTCGTTGCGGGCCTCGCCGTTGTCGCTGCCGCCATCGCCGTCGTTGCAGTTGTCGTCGCAGCCGCTGTCGTCGTCGTTGTCGTCGCAATATGAGTCGCCGTGGCCTTCGTACTCGACGTCGCCGATATTGCCGTCGTCACCGCCGTCGTCGTCTTCGTCAAATGCGCCGACATCATCGTCATCGCCGTTGTCGTTGCCATCGCCAGCGTCCATTTACTCTGTCCTCATAGCTCGTGCGTGTGCCCGCCGTGGCCTTCTGATGGTGTCTGGATCACCTTAACGATGAGGTGTACCCATAGCAGTAAAATTAATGCAGAGGATGTAAGCGCTGGTTCGTTGTCTTGATGGTCAATTCGCCCGCAGCCCTCATCATGCTAGCCCTTTCTTCGAGTTGTCGTGACCTTGGGTACACTGGTCCAGAAATCCTGGTCCACCCATGTCGATGAGGGAGGAAGGCAGGAGGAAGCGTCGGGCTCCTCAGCGCCGTCTGGGTGGGGCCGCATGTGTACAGCGTCGAGCTAAAAAGCAGTCAGGGCAGTATGTGTATCCCGCCCTGCCCGGCGGTCAAAAGCTCCCCAGGCCCCAATCTTCTTTGGATTGCGCACCTGATTCAACCGCTGGCTGGTTAGGTTATAAATTGTCATTCAACACGCCACACGGAGAAGGGACTGCTCCCCAAGAGGAGGAGGAGGAGGAGGAGGAGGAGGAGGAGGAGGAGGAGGAGGAGGAGGAGGGAGGGGGGAGGGGGAGGGGGAGGGGGAGGGGGAGGGGTGAAGGACAAGCTAGGTGAGCTCGCGTCATATCTGACATCCTACCCCTCCCTCCCATTCCTTACCATGGCGTAGATTCTCTCTCTACTCGCACAGTCGGATGTCGAGCAGGGCAATGATCCCGAAAGGGTACGCGATGCATTGTAGAGCACGGCATGGCATGGCGTAGAAGAGCACCGCAAAGTATAGTATGTCACAGCATAGCGTGGCGTGGCGTAGTGAATAATTGCATCACAAAGCTTTGCAACGCAAAGCATGGCATCGCACATCGGCCCCGAACATAACATTGTATAGCATGGCGTTGAAGATCAAAGCGTAGCATGGCATAGCACGACGTGGCACTTAAGCACCGCATATCACAGCTTCAGCTGAAGGCATGGTATCGCGCAGCGGAACGCAACCTAGCATTGCATTGCATGCCGTGGCATGGCACGGGAAATGACGCCAGCGCTGCAGCGGGAGCACGATTCGGAACGAGCGGAAGCGCGGAAATGAGGCCAGCGCTGCAGCGAGAGCACGATTCGGAACGAGCGGAATCACGGAAATGAGGCCAGCGCTGCAGCGGGAGCACGATTCGGAACGAGCGAGGCCCGAAAATGAGGCCGGCGCCTCAGCGAGAGCAGCATTTTGAAACAAATGCAGGCGAAAACCCAACTCCGGGGAATCCTGTGTGTAACAAGACAGTACGCGGGGGGGGGGCGAACACTCCCAACCCGTCATCAGGGGAAGGAGGAGAGTAGTATTCATATTGAGTAATTGTTGATGAGGCGCCCCAAGGACTTGAGGTAATATGGCTCCGGGGCGCCTTGACCCCATGAATGGGATTAGTTTCCTGCCATCTTGGATGGTACGGTGGCTCGAGGGTGCGAATGTCCTGGGGCTGTGGTCCAGCCAGCGCGGAACGAGGTCGTTTTGGTTAGGGAATATGCCAGAGTCGCAAGAAGGCCGCAAGAGGGCCCCAAGAGGGGCGGAGGTGGAGGTGGAGGAGCACGGGGCCCTCCAGGCGCTACATGCCGCTCACGCGGGTCGTCTCGGTGTGCGCCGCCGCGCTGCGCACGGGCCTCGGGGGCGACGACGACGACAACGACGACTGCGACGACGCCGCCGGTCCCGCCGCCGGCCCCGCCGGCGGCCCGCTGGACCGCCCGCCCGCTCGCCCGCCCGCCCGCTCGGCCGCCCGCTCGCCCGCC